TTGCTAACCCTCAAAATAAAGCAAATATTTACAACTCAATAATTCCAAAATAGCATCCTCTCTGCGGAGCTTCATGGATTCTTCCAGCCGTCCTACACTCGGGCCCACACCTGGGGCTGCACGGTGAGCCCTTCCTTAGGGCCCCACTGTTTCTGCACACGGTGGCTTCACTGGCCTACTGCTGTCCTGGGCCCACCGAGGCCCCCAGCTCGGCCTGTTCTCTGCAGTCAGACGCCCAACGGCCAGTTCCCCCAGGAGAGAGCGACACCCCCACCGCACACAGGCAGTCTGACTCTGAGCTCTGCCAGCAGAGGCGACTTGAGCACATCCCACCTGGGGCTTGGAGATGGGCTGGGCAGGCAGAGCAAGGGAGGCAGCAAGGAGGCTTTAGGATGCGCCCGGGGGCCTGGGCTCTGGGAGAGCTGGTGCCAGAGCAAAGGTCCCAGGTGCCATGGAGCCCTGGCTCCCTGCTGCCTCTGACCCGTGGAGAGCGCTAGGCCCACCACCCTAGGCAGAGCACGGACTTGAGAGTCACTCAGGGCTGGGTCCACCCTGTCTGACCCCCACTGCCAAGTCGTCTGTCTCTCTGAGCCTATTTCCTCTCCCACAAAAGCTGGGGTGATAAGAGGTGCCTCAGAGGGGAGACCAGCTCCCTACTGTCGCCGTAACAACTGACTGTAAACAGCCCAGATTTACTGCTGCACAGTTCTGGGGCCAGAAGCCCAAGTGGGTCTCCCTGGGCCAAATCAAGTGTCAGCGGCCTGGGCTGGTCCTGCTGGAGGCTCTGGGGGACCCCAGGCCTTAGAGGCCGCCCACCAAAGCCAGCTATGGCTAGCTCATTCCTTCCCACGCTGCCATGTCTCTGGGTCCTCGAGGACCCTCGTGATTGGATTGGGTCTACCTGGATGCACCAGGATGGTCCATCCCAAGGGCAGTTGGTGAACAATCTCAATCCCGCCTTTGCCACGTGCACTGACATATTGCCGGGTCCCAGGGACTGGGCTGCAGACATCCTGGGGGGGGGGTCATTCTGTACCAGACAAAACTATATGCACCTATTGCTCTGGACAGAGGGGTCACTCAATAAAGATGGGCTTCTCCTCTGATTTCCCCCATCAGGAGGTTTGGCAAAGTTTCAAAGCCCTGGATGTAAAGAGTAAATGTGAAAGTAAATTGGCAGAGAAGATAGAGGTGAACAGGAGAAAAGAAGTGATGTGGGGAGGGACTTCCCTGGCGGTCCAGTGGTTAAGACTCCACGCTTCCACTGCAGGGGGCACGGGTTCAATCCCTTGTCAGGGAAATAAGATCCCACATGCTGCGAGGTGCGGCCAAAAAAAAGACGTGGGGAGACACTATGAAGTGATGGGGTCGCAGGATGAGTCCCAGGGCCTTCTCTCCTCAGCTCCCACTTTCATCTGAGCCTTTCCCATCTCATGGGCCTCATCTGACTGGGAGCAGGTCCTCTCCTGAGTGACGCCAAAGCATCCACCTGGGGAGGTAGACCTCACGTCCCACCTGGGGGACCTCACGTCCCACCTGCCTCTCTTTTAGCACATCCACTAGCTGCTGTAGCTCATGTCACCTAGTCCCCCTCTGGCCAGAGTCATGGGTAAAGTACCACTTGTGTTTGGAGCAATTTTCCAATAAGTTGAGAAGGAAAAATTCAAAGGCTCCAACACAGATGCCTTTGAGGAGGGGAGTGGCCCCAGCCTTTCAGGATGAATAGGAGGCTCTCTGGGGCCTCAGCAATGACAGCAGTGACATAGAGGATGAGGCATAAATCGATGGTTTCTAACATGGTTCCCCTGGAGATTACACTGTCTGGGAAGTGCAGCCCTTTGGAAAGGGCCCTGAGGAGTGGGTGGTCCCGCCCTGGAGCAAGACCCAGGAGATGGGCCCGTCATGGTCCCTTGTGTGCAAACTGTGCTACCACCCTGTAGACGGCATCCAGGACGGGATGCCCACCGTCCACATTCAAAAGGGGACCATCACTTTCTTCAGTCACTAACGTGGTGTCACCTTCAACCCTGCGGCGCCGTCTGGCGTGAGCTCTACGTGACCTCTCCTCCGCAGCATCAAACCCTCCCCTCCACCAGGTTTTAAGAGGAGGGAGAGCACTTCTGTTTGAGTCCTGCCCAGTACCAAACTTGCCCGGATAAATCCCACAAAACAAAATCCATTCTCAAGAATCATCTCGCTACACTGACTCCACTGAGGAGGCCCCTCAGGGCTTCCAATCCCCCCCGTGTCTGTACTCGTCACTCATTTCTGGAAGCTAAGGATATGTTCATTCCCCATGAATTCAGTACCAAAAGGAGGCAGAGAAACACAGGAAATAAAAGTGTCTGGGCCTTCGCTTGACCTCCTGTCCCCACACAGCTCAGAGCAATCTGCAGGGACAATGCCACTCGAACTGGGAGGACAGTGTCTGCCCCAGGGTGGATTGAGTGGGGCAGTCTTTGGGGCTTTGCCGTCATTTCAGGGGCTCACCTGGGATGGGGAGGGTGCTCCTGTCCACACAACATGCCTGGCTGGCCTGCTCCTGGGCCGCTGGGAAGCCGGGTTCCTGCAGGTGTCTTCATCCCTCCTGGTGGCCAGAGAAGGTGCCCAGGCTCCCCTACACACGGGGTCCAGTGTTCTGCACCCAAAGCCCCCACGTTGACAGAAGTGGGATCCCTTCCTTCTCACCGCCACCATCCCCTGCCCCATCTCCCATCCCAGGGCCCAGCGGGGCTGGAGATGACACTGTGCTGGAGGCCTGGTTGTGCTCAGTGTTGGGGTCTGGGTTTTGATATCCAAGCCCAGGGGCTCTCCCCCAGCCCCACATCCTCCCTCCCTCCTTCCTCTATGCCCCTGCTGGAGCCAGTGCCAGTCAGGGGCCTGGTCAGCACTGGCCCAGCCTTGCTGGGAACTAGAGACACCAGTCCAACACCCTCAGGGAGCCGGTCCTGAAGGTCGGCCCCTGCGCCTGGCCCCATGGCCCCATCCCACCCCCAGGCTAGCCAGGCCGCAGCCAGGCCCCCACGTCATCCACCCAGAGGCCACCTCAGGAGTGTCCTGAGTGGATATGGGGCAGGCGGAGGCAGCTGGCTGTCATCCTCATTAAAATTCTTTTTCAAACGCTCCAGTGAGTGTCCTGCTAAAGATAAGCTATCAGGAGAGAGGCCTTCAAAGAAAGTGCTCTAATGGTGCAATTATCTTCAATCAACTCAGGACATCTTTATTACATTAGAAAGGGGCAATCCATCTTGGAATGCAGAAAGAACTGATCTAGCCACAGATGCAGGCCTGGCCTGGAGGGGTCTGAGGGCCCCTTTCAGTCATGCTTCTAAGTTTGCATGGAGAGAAACTTTCTAATTGAATTTTTCTAGCTTAACTGGATAAAGTGTCACCCAAAGCTAGATTTCATTAAACAACTTTGAGGGTTTCCCTGGTGGCGCAGTGGTTGAGAGTCCGCCTGCCGATGTAGGAGACGCGGGTTCGTGCCCCGGTCCAGGAAGCTCCCACATGCCGCGGAGCGGCTGGGCCCGTGAGCCATGGCCGCTGAGCCTGCGCGTCCGGAGCCTGTGCTCCGCAACGGGAGAGGCCACAGCAGTGAGAGGCCTGCGTACCACACACACACAAAAAAAACACTTTGGTTTTTCAAAAATAAACATGTACGGATTTAGGTTGCTGTTTCCGTGTTCTGGGATATTAATCGGACATAAAAGTGTTACCTGCAAAATAATCTCATGATTTATTCTAAAACACAGTCGGGGTTTCTTTCGTTCCGCGAGAGGCTGCAGAGCGGTGCCTCATCTGCAGCACCCCAGAAGGTTTTTAAACCAAAGATTGGTTCAGTTTTGGAAAAATAATCCGAGTGAAGCGTAAATCTCTGTCGGGCCTTGGCTCCATCTTCTACGAGCCGTGTCGGGGATCCCTCTCCGCCTGATCCGCGGGGGCCCCGTTGACAGCCCGGCCCCGTCTGGCCGCGTCAGTCGGAAGCCCGCGCCGCGGGGCTTTTCCCAGGTCCCAGGTCCCGCGACTCCGGACGATTCGGCCAAGCAAGTGCGGAGCGGGAGAGGCTGACGGTGAATCCAACACCCAGCGACTGACCTCGCGCCCCAGCGGCCCGAGGCGCCCTGCCTGTGCCCCAAGCCCTGCGTCGCAGGCGGGTGAGAGGTCGGCCCCTCGGCCTTCTCCGCGGCTCCGGGCCCTGCCCGGGGACCTTCGACGTGCCCCGCCGGCCGTTCCTGGAGCCAGGCCGTGGGACGCCACGGAGAGCGTTCGGCAGCTACGGGTGCCTAAAAAGCCATTCAGGGTCAGGGCACCTGAGGCCCGACTACAAGGCGACAGAAGCAGGGTCCTCGGTCCGGGCGCAGGTTCAGTCAAAAGCAGCCCCCAGGGTTCGGAGGGAACGCCTGGGCCACAGCAGGCACGCGCCGAGGGCTCAGGCTCCGGACTGGGCGCAGCGGGAAGAGCAGCCGGCGAGCGACAGAGGGACAACACTACGGGAGGCGCCGGCGCCGCCTCTCTGACGGCGCCGAACTCTCCGCGTCTCAGGATCCGCGCGCGGTCCCGACCTGTGCCCGGACCGCGGCTCAACCAGGTCGCGCCCACTGTGGGCTCCTGTGCGTGGGGAGGCTGGAGCCAGCGCCTCGTGCTCCCCGGGTGTACCAGCCACCTCCCAGCCGGGCCGCAGCGCTCCGGGAGAGGACAGCCGGGCTCTGGGAAGTCCACAGGGGTGCGCCAGGCAGGCCGGGGCTGGGGCGCTAGAGTCCCAGTCGGCCGTCCCGCCCTCCCGGGTCAGCGAAACCAATGGACGCCTGGGCCCACGCGGCAGCGACAGCGGCGATTGGAGAGCTGGGCATGAAAGGGGCGCCGCCTTTTTATAGGGCTCTGAGGGCGGGGGCGCAGTGGAGCCCCCGGCAGTGTCGCGGCGCGCTGGCCCCACGTCGCGCCTGCTGAGCCCCGCCAGCCCCGCGCCCGCCGGCCAGCGCATGGCCCCGGCGTCGCTCGGCATGAACCCTGTTGGGCTCAGGACGTGCAGCAGGGACCGTGCGGGGTCCGGCCCGTTGCCCTTCAGCGTCAAGTCGCTGCTGCAGGCAGAGCACTGGCTGGGCGCGGAGCCCGCGGAGCCCCGGGAGGAGAGGCCGCGGGGCGCCGCGGAACCCCGGGCCTGGGTCCCGGCGGCCGCCCCCTTGTCCTCCCCACGTAAGTGCCCTGTCGCACGGTTCTGGGCTGCGAGAGGAGCCCCCCAGGCCCGGGCTCGGAGGACTAGGGCGGGAAGGACGCTGTCTCTCGTAACTTTGGAAAGTAACCAGCCACTAACGCGCCAGCCTGGGCGCAGAGAAAGAAACCAGCCCACACGAGCCCACCCGACCCCTCCCGCGCGCGCGCAAACCCCACGGCGGCTCCCCGGCCCCACGCCAAACAGGCTTCTGCTCTACCCTGGGGCGGAGCCCGCAACCCAAGACCCGGGGCTTCTTGTCTCGGAGTCTCTCTGGCCGAGCACCCCTTTTGCTGCCGTCACTCCCCGCGATGCTTGACTTCTGCTTGGCCTCTGCGCTTCCCGCCCAAGTTTTTCGCTTCTCCAAGTGGGCAGAGTTCCCCTCCTCCCGAGGGACGCAGGGCCACCGATCTGGGGAGCAGAACCCGAGTCCACAACGGCCCCCCTCTCCGCGCGCCGTCTCCCCGGTGCCTCGCTTCTATTACCCCGGAGGTTTGGGGGTATCTTGTCTCAACTGAGGTCCGCGGTCTCAGCCGGGACACGCATCCGGAACCGTCCTTGGCGCGCACTGCTGGCGTTTGAGCGTCCGCTTTGTGCTCTCTTTCCCCCTAGGCGCCCCCAGCCCTCCACCCTGCACCCTCAGGAAACACAAGAACAACCGCAAGCCGCGGACGCCCTTCACCACCGCGCAGCTGCTGGCGCTGGAGGGCAAGTTCCGCCAGAAGCAGTACCTGTCCATCGCGGAGCGCGCCGAGTTCTCCAGCAGCCTGAGCCTCTCCGAGACGCAGGTCAAGATCTGGTTTCAGAACCGCCGGGCCAAGGCCAAGCGACTGCAGGAGGCCGAGCTGGAGAAGCTGAAGCTGGCGGCCAAGCCGCTGCTCCCCTCGTTCGCTCTGCCCTTCCCGCTGGGCGTCCACCTTCACGGCTCCCCGGCCGTGTACGGCAGCGCGGCGGGCTCCCTGCCGCAGGTGCCGGGACTCCTCGCCGCGCCCGTGGCCGCCTACGGCATGTATTACCTGTCCTAGGGCTGCAAGGCCGTGGGCCCTGGGGGCCCGCTGGGGAGGAAGGGCACGCGCGCAGGGGGGTGGGGGGCGGGGCCGGAGACGGGTCCCCGCGGGCGAGCGGCGCCCCGGCCGGTTCCTTGCTCCTGGTGCGCAGCGGGCGTCTCGGGGTTCTCTTCTTGTCTCGTTTTTCAGGTTTTTGTTTTTGTTGTTGTTAATACTGTGTTAAACTGGATGCCGCAAGACTATCTGTGGGTATCTTACGGTTATTTAAAAAAAAATGTTTTTAAAAAGTTATGTTAGTGCAAACTTTCCTGAAAGACAGTGAACATAGTTTTATATTGTCCTCGAAATGGACAAAATAGGACTTTCCAATGTATACAAAGCAGCTAATAAAGTAGTCTGAGGTTTCCTCTGTGGACCTGTCTCGGTAACCGCGGCGGCTCGGAAGAACTTAGTAGATTGTTTCTGGCTGCAGCGGCAGGAAACTGATTCGGAACAAAGAAACGACAGGAGCAGTTTGGTGCCGGAATTGCTAAAGAGAAACTTACCAACTACTTTCACTAACTAGGTTTCTCAGCGTTGTGTGCGAGTGGAGACTTTCACGCTTATTTTAGGGAATTTTTCCCGCGTTCATTTATGTATTTATGTATTTTACTAGAGAACGTCCGGGAGCCTGAGGCGAAGTGCTGTCTCTGTGGGATCATGTGCGTGAAGGTGCGTGCGGTGAGTGTGCGCGGGGCATCCACGCGTGGGCCCGGCGGCCTCGGAACCGCGGACTCGTGGAGCGCGGACCGCACCGCGGGCCTGGCGCGGTCGCTTGGCTTCCGCGGGGACGGAGCTGGAGCGGGACAGCGGTCGGCGTTGTCCGGTGGAAAGAGAAGGAATGGCCGCGCGCCCGCAGCGGGACCGGCGGCGCCAGCGGCCCGCTGCGTCCTGCCGACTCGCCGGGGTGGCCGGTGGCCGGGGACCTGCTGCGCATCCTTCTGCTGCCTCTTGACAACGTGCTGACATAACTTAGGAACCGGGCGCCCAGGCGCCAAGCAAGAGGACGGTCCGACCCTCTCCCCTGTCCGAGCGTCTGCCCTGCCGCCCCCAATGCTCCGACTCAGGGCTGGGGCCGTGGCGGGCGATCTTGGGGTTAGCTCACCTCCCCTCCCTCACCCGCCGGGCCGGAGGGGGCACCTGGGTGGCAGACCGCCTCTGCTGCGTGGGCGTAGGGACACGCAGTGACCACGCGAGAGGCCAATTCCAGGCCCGTCTCTCCCTGTAATGACTGCAGGGCTGGGGTCCTGCCGCCTGCGAAGGGGAAGCACTGACTTTTACTGGGCTGGCAGCGGAGGTGCCGCTCCACGGGAAGCAAGGATAATACTGCATTAATTTGCATGTCGTAGCCATCATTCTCCCTCGGTTTCCTGGAAAAATGCAAACTCAGGATGAATTTGAAAGAGAAACTGACGCAGTTCTTGAAGTGCAGCTGCTAAGAATGAAGGCCTGGTGATGGGAAGGGGGAGGAGGCCAGATGCGTCCAGTCCCTCCTGGGGTGTGGGCCAGCGAGTCCTGAACCTGTGCTGCTTAAGCTCAGAACCCAGCTCCAGTCACGATTTGCGAGGGGCCAGACCCGTCCGTGGTCTGGAAAGTGCCAGAGAAGGCAGGTGGGGGCAGCTGCACCAAGGGAGCTGGACGAGGGGCCCAGGGGCCCTGAGAGCGACCACCCGCCTTCTGTGTGTGCCCAGGCACCTGCAGGACCACATCTGCGGCTTTTTAAGGCCCGTCAATACTTTGATCCTCTTCTCCACACCCCAGAGCGCTGGGCAGCCCGGGGCTGGCAGAGGAATCGGCTGCATCAATTTGCTACGGGTCTGCATAACCGGTTCTGACCAAGACACCTCCCCAGGGAGCCTCTCCTCTCAGGACCCCACGGAGCAGCTCGACCATCCTTTGTCTGACTCAGGGCTTGGCATCCAGACCACTGGAGGGTGAGCGAGGCTCTGTGGAGGCCCAGAGCCCACCAGCCGGGTGCCCTTGCTGGGAAAGGCTGAAGCAAACTTATCAAGACCAAGACTTTCCCATTGTTCTAGACCAGGCTCCTGCCCAGGGCAGAGCTTTGTGGACTTCTACTGCCTGTCCACCGTCTCATGGACAGCTCGGGCCCCTGAATGCCCTGGGCCAGGTCCTGGGGCCAGGGGACACTGCCGGCCATCTCCTCAGCCACTGTGTCTCCAAGGCCTTGAGGCTGCCCAGCTGGCCGGAGCCAACGCGGGAGGACTCACCCATCAGGACCCTGCACGGAGGGGTCCGAGCTCCAGAGTCCGGCTTCCCCCCCAGCCCCGCTGGTTCCCAGTCACCTGCCTCATGCCCGGCTGCTGGATTTGGAGACAGCAGCCCTGCCCTTGGGAGACCACCTGGACAGGGGTACAGGAGAGCAGTTCAGGGCAGAGCACGCCTCTCTGGAGGTGCAGGGGCCACCTGATCTGGGGACAAGGAGTGGGCCAAGTTATGCAAAGGTGTGGACTGTGGTGACCCCGGTAGTGCCAGAGTGGGGAAGATGGGACTAGGGAGGACGCTAGACAGTGACCCACCCAGCATGCCTGGGTCTCAGGAAGACTGCCCTGAGGCTCCCACGTCAGGGTCGCCTCTGGTTCCTGGGTGGGGATCAGGCTGGACCCCAGGGTCCCTTCCTGGCATCCAGTCAGCTCTATGGTCCCTGCTGGCCCCCGAGCCAACCTGGCCTACTCTGTGCCAGACGTGGACCCCAGGCCGCGGGTCTTGCGCCTGTGGACCACTCAGAGGGTTGGGCCAGGTCAGTTCTGCTTCAGTACTTCTGGGGGAGGGATTCCCGCAATCTGACCATAGGTCTTGAACGATCATAAAGAAGCAGTGCCGGGAGGGTAGAGGCCCTCTCATGGGACTTACTTCTTAAGCTGGGTTGTGGGGCTGTGGTATCTACTGTCCTTGCCAGGACGTGTGATTTTATTTTTATAAATGTATTTATTTATTTATTTATTATTTTTGGCTGCATTGGGTCCTCGTTGCTGCGCGTGGCTTTCTCTAGTTGTGGCGAGCAGGGGCTACTCTTCGCTGCAGTGCGCAGGCTTCTTATTGCGGTGGCTTCTCTTGTTGTGGAGCACGGGCTCTAGGCGTGCAGGCTTCAGTAGTTGTGGCTCGCGGGCTCAGTAGTTGTGGCTTGAGGGCTTTAGAGCACAGGCTCAGTAGTTGTGGCGCACGGGCTTAGTTGCTCCGCGGCATGTGGGATCTTCCCGGACCAGGCCTCGAACCCGTGTCCCCTGCATTGGCAGGCGGATTCTTAACCACTGCACCACCAGGGAAGCCCAGACGTGTGATTTTACATTTGCTTTTGTGCGTTTAAAACATTTCATAACAAGAAAACACTACTTAGGCAGTACTTCCTCCCAACAGACTGTAAAGACCTTGCCATGATTGGCATGTTAAGAAAAATGCCATTTCTGCATCGCCAGAGATGCCATGCTTCATGGACACAGCCAGGGGCAGGCAAAGGGCAGGGTTCTCTGCTGGCCTCGCTGGTCCCAAATCTGTGCACGCCCTCAGGAAGTATTTCTGAATCACTGTACTTCAGCGTGTTTCCCTGGTGTGGTAACGCATAATGCTGTCCAGATGGCCTGAAGCTCTGGTACTTTCATTTGACTTTTAAAAAAGTGTTGCCTCATTAGCTAAACATACACAGTTCTTGCTATTTCTGATATTCCATACATCATGCTGTGTTTGCATTGATTAGACCATTAAGAAAAATACCCATATAGCAAATTAACCAACATGGCCATGATGATAAGATGCTAAATTTCAGAGGCAGTAAAATGTGGGCAGGAAACGTCTCAGCATGTTAAGAAGCACGTGTTTTTAAAAACCACACCAAACAGCTGCATTGTTCCTGTACGCATCCAAGGGGTGTTACCATTCTTCCAGGTTGACTTTGAAAATCTGTAGAACGAGGAACCATGTACTCACCGCTACCCTCGGCGAGCCGTTTCCACAACTTGGGGTGGCGAATGCTGCACTCAGAGGCCCAGAGGCAGCGCCCCTGGGCCCCGCAGGAGGCTGGGGAGGCCTCAGGGGCCAGAGAAGATTGCGTTCCTACCCGCGTAAGCAATTGTTTGGGTTTTCTGTTAAATGGAACTGAAACAAAGCACAGTGGTACCCATCTCTTACCTCTTTCTCCTGTCTTACTGGGCCGGCTACAGCCTGCAGTGTGAGTGTGGCTAGAAGTTTCCAGAAGGGGCATTTTGTCTTATTCTTGCTTTTTAAAGGAAATACTTTTAACATTTCACCATAAGCATGATATGTGCAGGGGGGGTTTCAAAATACCTTTTCCAGGTGACCTACATTTCCTTCTGCAACTAGCTAATAGGACGTTTTATCATCAGTGAGTGTTGTGCTTTATCAAGTGCTTTTTCTGCATATATAGAGATGACCAGTTGATTCCCCCATTCAATCTTTTAATGTGGTAAATTATAGTGGAAAGTTCGATTTCTCCATATTCTTTCCAACACTTGCTATTATCTGATATTTTGATTCCAGCCAGCCTAGTGGGTGTGAAGTCTCAGGCTTTAATCTGTGTTTCCCTGATGGCTAGAGATACTGACCGTCTTCTCATGTGCTCATTGGCTATTTATATATCTTCTTCAGAGAAACATCTGTTTAAGTCCTTTGCCCATCTTTTAGTTGGGTTGTCTTTTATGTTGAGTTGTAGGAGTTCTTTACACATTCAGGATATTAAACCCTCATCAGATACAGGATTTGCAAATACTTTCTTCCATTATGTGGGTTGTCTTTCCACTTTCTTGATTGTGTCATTTGAAGCACAAACTATTTTAATTTTGATGAAATACAATTTATCTATTTTTAATTTTGTCGCTCATGCTTTTGGTGTCATACCTAAGAATCCTTTGCCAAATCCAAGATCATTAAGATTCACTCTGTGTTTTTTTCCTAAGTGTTTTATAGTTTCGTCTCGTACATTTAGGTCTTTGATGCATTTTGAGATAATTTTTGAATATTTTGTGAGGTAAGGGTCCAACTTGATT